TTGGGTTACTTGTGAACTAAAGTATTTCCTATCAAATTGGTATCAGAGCCCTGTCTTAGGACCATCGGAAGCTGAAAATTTATAATTTCAGCAGTTTTTTTTCACACAAAGGAATCTCTTTGGTGCCGCATCGAAGGAATTATGGCCGGACAGAAAGTTGAAGTCTTGGAGGGAGAAATAGGTCAATTGAAGACAAATTTTGAGGAGAAAATTTCAGATTTTCAAAGTCAATTTGTGGGCGTTCATGAAAAGATAGATGGAAGGTTCACCGCCTTGGAAGATTTGATAAAGAAGATGCTTGAAGACAAAAAAAAAAACCGGCAACATCGGAATCGAAGGAGAACACCGACATCCAGGGAAGGGGAGGTATTCTGAACCCATTCAAGGGGAGGGAATATCCAGAAGTGGAGGTTCTCGAGAGAGAGGATGACAAGCCTCCGCTAGAACTGCTGTCTAGGGAGGAGATGAGCATGGGATATGAAAGGAGGGGCACCGATTGTTCCGAACCCATTCAAGGGGAGGGAATATCCAGAAGTGGAGGTTCTCGAGAGAGAGGATGACAAGCCTCCGCTAGAACTGCTGTCTAGGGAGGAGATGAGCATGGGATATGAAAGGAGGGGCACCGATTGTGTTGGAAGAAGGGAAGAAGTCTACCGTCGGGGTGATGATTTTGGAGGACAGAGAGAGGAGTACGATGAAGGGTTTGGGCATAATCGTAGGAGAGGACCGTGAAAATTAGGGAGCACCACCCTCTCAGGGAATGGGAGGTTATGGACGATTCCGAGGGAACGGTGGTGATCTAAGGGTGAGAAAACTGAAGATGCCCGTCTTTGAGGGCGAGGAAGGCCATGACTGGATCTACAAAGTGGAACAATACTTCTGACGGCGACATGATTATGTTCGGAAGGAAAGGCACTTGCATGGTATCAATGGCGTGAAAGGAGGGAGCCCATCCAGAATTGGAGGGAGTTCGAAGAATGTTTACTAGAACGTTTCCGAACCGAGAGGGGAGGACACTTCTATGAGCAAGTCTTTGTCTTGATTTAAGAGGGGACCGTAGCCGACTACCGCGACAGATTTGAGTATTTGGCCAGCAGATTGGATCATATCTCAGAGACGACACTGGTGGGAAACTTTATGAAAGGGCTCAAACCGGAGATACGAGCAGTAGTCAGAGTCTTGGAGCCAAGGAACCTAGGGAAAGTCATGGAGTTAGCACAGTTAGTGGAAGAACAGAGGAGGATGGAGAGAGTGATGCCACTCTGGCTAGGGGAAGCAACTCAGGGGGGTCATATAGGATGACTACCACCTTTTTACCTCCGAGGGGATCAGTGCCAGGGAGCATGAAGGAGGTGTCGAAGGAGAGATCCGGAGGAGAGGGAAATTTTAAGAAACTAACTGAGAAGGAGATACAAGAGAAGCGGGCCAAGGGGTTGTGTTTCAGGTGTGATGAGAAGTACATGCCGGGGCATAGGTGCAAGGACCGAACTCTTCAGGTTCTCACCGTCTGTGATGACAAGGAAGCTGAAGAGGGAGGTAGGAGCGGGCTAGAATTGGAGGAGGAAAAATTGCATCTTGATTTGGCAGAAGTATCCCTAAACTCTGTAGTGGGATTCACTCCTAGTCACACTATGAAAGTGAAGGGAGATATAACAGATAGAGAGGTAGTGGTATTGATCGATAGTGGGGAAACCCACAATTTCATTTCCACCCAGATTGTTGATCGGCTTGGGATGGAATTTGTCAATACATGAGGCTATAGGGTGATGATGGGCACAGGAAAGGTAGAGATGGGTAGAGGAGTTTGTAAGGGAGTGGTGCTGATGATTCAGGGGATCAAGGTGAGGGAGGACTTTCTTCCCTTGGAACTTGGAAGCATTAATGTCATCCTGGGGATGAAATGGCTACGGTCCTTGGGAGATACCAAGATGAATTGGGGGACATTGAGGATGGAGTTGATGGATAAGGGAAAGGTAGTTATTCAGGGTGATGCGGGGCTAACTAAGACTGGGGTATCCCTCAAGTCTTTGATCATAACCATAGAGGATGTGGGAGGAGGATACTTGGTGGAATTGCATCGTCTGGAGGGGGTCAGACTGGAAGAAGATGGAAACATTCCATCTTCAGTACAGCTATTCATACAACAATTCAGCGAGGTTTTACAACCTCCTCAAGTTCTACCACCACCAAGGGAGTTAGAGCATGCCATTACTTTGAAGGAAGGAGAGACAGAAGGAAGGAGAGACACCGATCAGTGTCAGACCCTACCATTACCCTCATATACAGAAAGATGTGACTGAAAGGTTGATCTGGGAGATGCTGGAGGTAGGGATCATCAGATCGAGTGTGAGTCCTTTCTCTCGTCCCATCCTCTTGGTCAAAAAGGATGGGAGTTGGAGATTTTGTGTGGACTACAGAGCGTTGAATAACGGGATGGTGCCAGATAAATTCCCTATTCCGGTGATTAATGAGCTCTTGGATGAGTTATATGGAGTGATGATGTTTTCCAAGTTAGACTTGAAATCCGGGTACCATCAGATCAGAATAAGGGAGACAGACATTCCGACGACAGCATTCAGGACACATGAAGGACATTATGAGTTATTGTTAATGTCATTTGGCCTCACTAACGCCCCTGCTACTTTTCAGTCTTTGATGAACAGGGAGTTAATGGCCATTGTCTTGGCTATTCAGAAGTGGCGCCCTTATCTTTTTGGTAGACATTTTATCGTCCGAACGGATTAGAGGAGCTTGAAGTGCCTGTTGGAGCAACGGATGGTGATCGTGGAGTATCAGAGATGGTTATCCAAACTATTATGCTATGATTTTCAGATCCAGTACAAGCTGGGGTTGGAGAACAAAGCGGCCGATGCCTTATCTCGGTGTGTTGGGGAGCTCCAGGAGTTGGCTGTGTCTATACCTTTGATGGTCGACAGGAGGGACATGAAGGAAGAAAGCATGTTGAATGCAGAGTTGCAAAAGATCAAGGAGGATCTAACGAAAGACAAGGGTATCCACCCTGGTTACTATATGGAGGGGGAGAGGCTGTTGTATCAGAGGAGGTTTGTGATGCCACGAACCTCCATACACATTCACCACTTGTTATAGGAGTTCCACGGCAGTGTAGTTGGAGGTCACTTGGGAGTGTAGAAAACCTATAGAAGGCTAGCATCTGAGCTTTACTGGAAGGGGATGCATAAAGATGTTGAGGAGATGGTGGCAAGGTGTGAAGTATGCTAGAGAAACAAATACATGACCATGGCTCCAGGAGGATTACTACAACCCTTAGCACTTCCAAACCGAGTATGGGAGGAAGTGTCCATGGATTTCATTGATGGCCTACCACAATCAGAAGGATTCACTGTCATCATGGTGGTGGTTGACAGACTTAGTAAGTATGCACATTTCATCCTCTTACGACATTCTTATACCGCAGTGTCAGTAGCAGCACCATTTATCAAGGAGGTGGTTAGACTGCATGGGATCCTGAATCCATTGTGACTGATTGTGACAAAGTGTTCATCAGCCTATTTTGGAGGGAGTTGTTCAGGTTGTAGGGCACAACTCTTAAAAGGAGTACCGCCTACCATCCTTAGACCGACGGGCAAACGGAGGTGGTAAACCGAAGTTTGGAGACCTATTTGAGGTGTTTTGCTTCTGAAACACTGCGAATGTGGGCGAAGTGGTTACCATTGGCCGAGTATTGGTACAATACATCGTACAATTCTGCTTCTCAGATGACTCCTTTGAAAGTGATGTATGGAAGGGATCCCCCACACTTAGTGCACTATGGGAGGGGAAGCACACCAGTTTCTTCAGTTGAGCAGTACTTGGAAGAAAGGGCAAGGTGCTGGAAGAGTTGAAGAAATATCTGCTGAGGGCACAATAAATCATTAAAAAGCAGGCGGACTCACATATGAGGGACATGCAGTTTGAAGTGGGAGAGAAGGTGTTCCTAAAACTACGCCCTTACAGGCAAAGGACAGTGGCGAGGAGGAACGAGAAATTGGCACCGCGATGCTTCGACCCCTATGAGGTTTTGGATAGGATTGCAGTAGTGGCGTACCGACTGAAGTTACCACCATCAGCGACCATACACCTAGTTTTTCATCTGTCTCAGTTGAGGAGAGCTCTAGGGGAGCATGCAGTTAGTGCAGAATTACCTTCTACACTGACTGAGAATTTGGAAGTAGCATTTGAACCACTAGAACTTACAGGAGTAAGGTCAGATAAAGAGGGCAACAAAGAAGTGCTGATTAGATGGAGAGGCCTCCTCGAATTTGATGCTACGTTGGAGCCATTTGAAAGAATGAAATATCAATTCCCTTCATTTCACCTTGAGGACAAGGTGAGTCTTAGGGAGGGGAGTAATGTTTGGCGGGCCCCTCATGGGCTGACTGGACCGGTCCAACATGGATCGGTCCTTACTCCAGACGAGCCCCACATGGGTTTTAATTCAAGTGTCGGAGGGGGGAAAGCCTTGGGGCCCATGATGGGGTTTAATTCAAGTGTTGGTGGGGGAATTTGAATGGAAGGGGGGGTTTAGGGATTTTATATGGGGATGAGAGTTAAAGAGGGGGAAAGGGTGGATTTAGGTTTTCATCTTGAATTTGGGCTGAATTTTGGGATCTTCTTGGCTAGAGATTTTGGAGAGTTCTCTTCCTCTTGAATTGAAGAATCTTGTATGGTTATTGTTTTCTTTCATCTACTAGTGAAATACAAGTGGTTGACTTGATTTCCTTCAGATTCCTACTCAATTTCTTGCTGTTTTTCACTGTTTGGGGTTGTTAAACAGCAGTTTTGTTGCTGTTTTCTCTCCAATTTGGGATAGGGTTGCTTGCGAGCTCAAGTATTACCTTTGGGTTACTTGCGAACTCAAGTGTTTCCTATCACATACCTTTCCTTTTAAATTCTCAGGGTACCTTTTACCAACAGCTTGGTTAAGTTAAGAAACAATTTGACATTAAACCCTGACATTTCTAATGAATTTATCCCTGCAGTTTCTGGAGTGTATCTAGCTGAGAGGATTAACAGGTTTCTGTCTAAGAACTGGAAGAGCTTTGCTGGCCAGAATTATTTTGATCCCAATGGCCTATTCATTTCTGTGCTCTGGTCTGGTCCTCTTCTGCTCATATCAATAATACTTGTGGTAACTATACATACTTTTTTTTGCTTTAGAATGTTTAATTAATTTTTGGCATAATTACCTTACATTGCTAACTTAATCATATTATTGCTTTTGTTTGGTAGATTAACACACTCATAACTCTCTGCAAACTTATTGTGAAGTGGAAGAAAGCTGAGCTGAGACACCGTGCCAGGCTTGCACGTGGCAAGCAGGATTAATAGCCATATGATGATTATGTGTAAGATCTAGATTTTTTTTTCTTTTATTTGATTGTGGAATTCTGCCATATTTTTCTTTCTTTTTGACTGTGGATGCTCTTTGGGTTTTGGGGATGAAAAATTAAATTTTATGCAATATTTGCTGCTGTTGAAGTGGTTTTTTTTATTGGAATTACAAATTTATGAGCAAGCTGAAGGTTTTGCTTTTTCTCTTTTTTTTTTTTCTTTGAAGAAGCCCCACAGTGATTTAGTTTTTTTATAAAAGTGATTATAAAATTACGAGGAAAGTATATATTTTTTTAAGTTATAAAAAATAATTTATTAGCACATAAAATTTTTAAATGAAATGTAAAAATAGTAATCAAATAAAAATTATGATTACAATTTGAAATACAAAATAATAATTGGTCTTAAATAGAATTTTTGTTTCATATTACTTATTTTATTGGCCGTTAGAATTTTTAAATTCATTTTCTTGGTAAAATAAATATTCAATAATCTTCTTTTGAGTATAACCAAAATATACGCATGTATCGTGGAGACCATAACTTCTATATGTTTGTTTATCTTATCACTAATATTTATCATTCCTTCACCATATTTATCATCATATTTTTTATAGTAATTCATTCATTTTTTTTATAAAATTAAATTTCATACATTCCTTTGATCAATTGGCTGAGCTTAAGACAAAGATTACAGTTATCTCCACCGGTTATCGTCTTACGTTTATTACTAAAACTATTAAAAATGTTATCTTTAGCGGTCTATCCAATATTCTCTCTCTTTCTCTCTAGATTGAATCGGCCTGTTAAATCGGTTAAACCGTGTAAGGAAGTAGAGGAACGTTCGGTCGGAGGCAAAATCCCGCCAAAAAACTCGGTATTTCTATGTATCATTTGATAATAATGAGGAATACCGCTCTGTGAAGACCAATACCGAGTTATACCGAGCAATACCAAGTTGTACCGAGTTTTTTCTAGGAAAAACTTGGTACAACTTTTGTATAACTAGGTATTGCTCGGTATAACTCGGTATTGGGTCTTCACGTGATAGTATTCCTTGTTATTGTTTGGTATTGCTCGGTATTTCTCGTTTTTTGGCGCGATTTGACCTCCGACAGGACGTTCCTCTACGTCCGGTACGTCCGGTCGGAGGACGTAATAATTGTTCTAAATATACACGTAAAACAACATATATAAATAATTTTCCCGTTAATTTGCACTCTTGTTAATCTTTTGGACCGATTTCTCACCACTTACTTTTTAGATGGTAACTCTTTCTGGTTACTTTTCTAAAATTTCAAATTTTATTTTTCAAAATTGTGTAAGACAATTTCTTAATATTTTTTTCAAAAAAATAAATTTATAATATTCATTTTTACTAAATTTTTTTTAACCACAATTTCATAATTGATTTTAGAAAATATTATAGACGCTTTAAAAAGCCCCTTCTCACTTAAACAAGAAAGTAAAACTAATGATTAGGAATTTGTTTAGGACAATTACAATTTTTTATAAAGTTGATTGTAAAATTAGTATCGAGAATTTAACTTAGGTTTCATTTGGAACAACTTTCTAATTATGCTTTTCAGAATACAACCATAGTTTCTGATTAACTAATACTTTTTCGTCGCTTTCAGGATTTCTTTGTGTTAGGAAGCTGCTTTCTACAACTGTTTTAAAAAATTACTCTCTACAATAATTTCATAATCATCTTTATAAAAGCTATAGCCATCCCAAATGGATCATAAGCTTTATTTGTGATAGCTTTTTTACTGCATCATTTTTCATACCACAATTATAATTTTTATTTGACCACCACTTTTTCACTATTTTTAATAAATCTCTATATTATGAAGCTGCATTTTTACAATAACTTAAAAAAAAATTTACGACTATTGTTTGAAATTTAAAATAATGCGAAAGCTATCTCGAATAGACTTTAAACAAACAAATACAAGAAAACCACTTACATGATATTAATTCTTATAAGCAAATTTAGCATATTGACCAATGTTTTAAAAATCGGACTGAATTGACCGATTCAACTAGTTGAATCGTGAGTTGGTCCGCCAATTGGTCCATAATTTTGTAAAATCATTTTATACATGAACTCGATTGAATCGTCTTGAACCGACGATTCAACCAGTTAATCGGCAAATTAGTGCCAATTTTCAAAAAATTGTTTTGGCTAATATTGAATTAAATTTAATAATTTAATAAATTTAATATTAAATATTTTACATAATAAATTAATTTAAAAATTATATGTTTGATCAAATAGCCCAACATATCATATGATTTTTTTACTCAATTGAGTAAAAAAGCTAATATAGATGAAAATAATAGGGAAATTTACTTACATACAATTTTATTTCATGCTATTTACATATCTAACATCAAAAACATTAAAATTTTGTATACGTTCCATAAGTATAAATTATGTCTAAACATATAACATAAATTATAAATTATTTATATTAAATCTAAAAGTATTTATATAAATTAATTTTATATTAAATATGAATTATATTATTTATAAAGTGTGATTTTAAACTTTCAACTCATTCTTAATTTGAATATTTGATGTGTATGATAAGATATATTTGTGCTTAAATTTAATGTTAGATTATCTATTAGTATATTAATTTTGATTAATATTATTATTTATTACATCATCCGATTAGAACTTCACGAAGCTCTCTTTCTTCCTATTTTTAAAACCTTGACATTGATAACATAGGCGGATATATGAAATCACATAATTATTTATTTTTATCTTCATACGGTTCTCGCGTGACAATTCAACCACCAGTTCGAAGTCTACTCCTAAACGATGAAGAAAGAGGAAAGTGAGGTTAAACTTGAGTAAGTTTGTTTATTTATTTATTTAAGACTCAATTAATTTTATATTGTACTCAGCTTAAAATAAATAAAGACTTTTAAATTAATTTAAATTAAGATATAGGCTTCCTTTGAGGCGGCTTTCTTAATTCTTTCTAAAGCATATTTTAGTACAAAATTTTCTAGTTCAAAAAATTTTTATACTAGAAAGCTGTTTTAAAAAGCATTAGGAATGTTATAAATTAATGCTTCTCATTCTAGAGTATTCATCATTCTAGAGTATTCCCTTATCTAGATTATTCCACCATTAAGTATTAATGTAGAATCTTTTAGGATGCTTATCTTTTGAAGTAAATGCTTATTAAAAATAGATGTTTCTAGAATATATAGAGAAATCTAGAACTACTTGTAACCACTAGTATAAATAGGGATGATGTATTATTGAAATGGTAAGAGAAAAAAATATATTCTTCAACTTCCATCAATATCTCTTCATCTCTTCATTTCTCCAACAAATGGTATCAGAGCAGCTTCAATCTATGGGAATGATGACAGGCTCAATTTCCATCATATCCAATATTCACCGGCGAAAACTACGACTACTGGAGCGTGAAGATGATTACGTTGTTACGATCACTAGATCTATGGGAGATAGTTGAAGATGGCATTTCAACCGAAGTTGTCAGTACCTCTGATGGTTCGTCTAATCTCACGCAAATCCGGGTGGACAAACAAAAAGATGCAAAGGCGCTCTTCATTCTTCAACAAGCTGTAAGTGACACTATCTTTCCAAGGATAATGCGGGCTTCTTCGTCAAAACAAGCATGGGAGATCCTGCAGGAGGAGTTTCAAGGAAACTCCAAAATAAGAACAATAAAATTACAAGCCTTGCGAAGGGAGTTGGAAAATCTTAAAATGAAAGAAACAGAAAATACAAAGGAGTACTGCTCCAGAATCATTACCATGGTAAACCAGATGAGGGCGTACGGCGAAGACATCTCAGAAGAGAAGGTTGTACAGAAGATCCTCATTAGCCTTACCGCAAGCTACGATCAAGTGGTGGCTGCGATCGAAGAGTCCAAAGACCTCTCCTCATTGTCGGTGACAGAGTTGATGAGCTCATTATATGCTCATGAGCTTCGACTTGAGAGAAGGAAGGATACGACTCTTGAAACAACATTCTAGTCAAAAGTCAATCTGAAGAAGAAAAAGATAAAGGATTCCAAGAAGAAGTCTAAAGAGATTACAAAGAGTGGAGATAACCCACAAAAGAAGGAATTCCCACCATGTAAGATCTGCAAAAAGACAAATCACTTGGAAAAAGATTGCTTTCATAAAGGTAAGCCTCTATGTTCTTATTGTAAAAAGTTTGGACATGAAGAGAAAGATTGTTGGCATAAAAATAAAAAAAATCAACAAGCTAACTTTATGGAAGAAAAGGAGGAGCAATTGTTCTATGCCTGTCATGTTGCAGCCGAGCAAAGGAAAGAATGGTTTCTTGATAGTGGGTGCAGCAATCATATGACTCCAGATGAGAGTTTATTCACTCAGATTGATAAATCTGTATGTGCCAAAATAAAACTTGGAAATGGAGAGTTGGTAGAAGCAAGTGGCAAAGGAACAATTGCCATCAAAACCAATGAAGGAACAAGGCACATAAGAGATGTTCTTCTGGTTCCAAGCCTTGATCAAAGTCTTCTCAGTGTTGGGCAAATGATGCAGAATGGGTATTCCCTACATTTTGAAGGTGATATATGTATCATTCTAGACCTAAAGAAAGACAATCAAGTTGTGGCAAAAGTAAGAATGAAGGATGGCAGAAATTTTCCTATCACTTGGCAGTATCCAAGAGCTTTATTTACAAAGAATGATGATACATCTCTTTGGCATCAAAGGTTCGGTCACTATAACTTGAAAGCTTTGATATTGTTAAATCAGAAGAATATGGTAAAAG